CCTGGGGCAGGAGAGAGCTGGGTCAGGGGGACAGGGACACAGGGACAGGTGGCACCACCTGTGGGGCCAGGGCCACGCGTCGAGGGGAGCTGCTGGGGGATGAGCAGCACAAAGCAGGGCACTGGGAGTGTGGGAGGAGAAAAGGAGGCTGAGGGGAGACCTTGTGGCTCTGTGCAAGTCCCTTGGAGGAGGGTGGAGAGAGGTGGGGGTGGGTCTGTTCAACCAAGGACCAAGGGACAGGACAAGAGGAAATGGGCTCCAGTTGTGGCCAGGGCAGTTGAGATGGGATGTGAGGAAGAATTTCTTTGCTGCAAGGGTTCTGAGGCATTGGAAGGGGTTGCCCAGGGCAGTGGTGGAGTCCCCATCCCTGGAGGGATTGAAGAGTCGTGCAGACACAGTGCTGAGGGACATGGGTTAGTCATAGGGGACTGGTCAGTGTTGGGTTCATGGTGGGACTCCAGGAGCCCAAAGGGCTTTTCCCATCCAGGCAGCTCTGGGATCCTGTGATCCCTGCACAGCTCATGTGGAGCAAGAAGCTGCTGGTGCTCGACTGAGACCCAGTCAGCCACGAAGGTGAAAACAGAAGGATCGGTCTCAGAGGGCACGGAAGGCAACCAGCCCCCCACCAGCACGAGCCCCACAGTGGGGGGAATTTGCAGGGCAGAGTCAAGAGTCACAAACAAGGTCCCTACACCAAAGTGACCTCAGCAGTGTGGTCGGGGTGAGGTTTCAGAAGGACTTTTCATAAGGGCAGTTAATGACAAAACAAGGGGAAATGGGTTTAAGCTGCAAGAGGGGAGGTTTAGATGAGATATTAGGAAGAAGTTCTTCACTGTGAGGGTGGTCAGACACTGGAACAGGTTGCCCAAGGAAGCTGTGGCTGCTCCTCCCTGGAAGTGTTTGTGGCCAGGCTGGATGAGGCTTTGAGCAACCTGGTCTAGTGGAAGGTGTCCCTGCTGCTGGCAGGGGGGTTGGGACTGGATGAGCTTTAAGGTCCCTCCCAACCCAAACCAGTCTGGGGTTCTGTGATTCCAGGTTACCCCAGAACAGTACCAGAATCACCACGTTTGGGTGGGGATGGAACAGAACTGGGAGGAGTGGGGAGAAAGTAATTAGCAGTGGGTTGTTCATTTGGGGGGGAGTGGGGGTGGGACAGAGAAAGGGAGGTGTGAGGTCAGCAAGAAGGTGCAGACATGGGAAAATGGGGAGTGAGGTGTGGAATGAGGTGAAGAGGGGGGATCTCCCCAGGACAGGAACGCGGGTGGCAGCGGGGCTGGTCTGCAGACCTGAGCCCCTGGGGACCCTGAGGGGACCTCGAGGACACCCCATCCTGCTGGAGCTGGTGCCAGCCAGGGAGAGGAGGGGTGGGCTGAGACCCTCATGACAGGGAGGGGAGGCAGAGACTCACCTTCAGCGTGGCCAACCCCATCCAGATGTACCCGGTGTCGGTGAAGAGAGCCAGGCAGCGGTAGTTGAAGGACACGGCCATCTGCAGATAGGCACCGGCGGAGGGGCTCATGCCAGGGGGGGTCTGGGACAAGGGAAAGGAGAGGGTCACACCTGGGGGACACACTCTGGCATGGGATGTGCCACACGCCGGCATTGACGCTGTGTAAGGGGCTGGGGACTGGTCAGAGAGTCACAGAATGGGGTGGAAGGGACCTTTCAAAGTCACCTCGTCCAACCCCCCTGCAGTGACAGGGACATCTTCAACCAGGTCACTCAGAGCCCCAGCCAACCTGGCCTTGAATGTCTCCAGGGATGGGGCTTCTACCACCTCTCTGGCCAGCCTGGGCCAGGGTCTCACCAGCCTCAGTGTGAAAAAATCAAGAGTGGGGGTGTCCCTTCCCACCCTGCACCTACTCAACCCTCAGCCTTTGGCCCTGGCCAGGATGGGGCCACATGTCCCTGCTGTATGTGCCT